ACACTCACAATATAAGATAATACACAAATATTTTTTAATATTAAGTTAATGATTGACAGTGTACGAATACTGCAATATGCAGCGGTTACACATTGATATCTCTCTCTCATTAAATAGTAACTTATGGGGGGAAATCATAAATAACGCTTACGATGCAGTCTGTCACTACAATTACCACAACTGGGTTTTTATTTCTGTATATCCCGTGTAATGTAGTTTTATTATCTGCTGATCCTGCCAGTAGATGTTATTTTTACACTTCCTGTAGCAGGCCACGCTGTCCGGCAGTTACAGGGTTTGGACAAACTATATAACACTGCCGGGAGAGCCAACAAAGGTCAGCGGCTTAAACCTCATTGTAGAAGAAAGAAACCTGCTGCTGTAACTGCTTAAAACGTGTTAAACTGGAACTAAACTAAACTCCCCGCACCGGCACAGACCTCTTCACCCAGTCTCTTCTTCAGGGATCTTGACTGGCCAGCCCAAATGACGTAACTCCCACATATATACATGGAGTGCCAACAACTGTCTAAACCTCCTTTCAAAAGAAGAAACCTGCTGCTGTAACTGCTTAAAACGTGTTAAACTGGAACTCAACTCCACTCCCCGCACCGACCTCTTCAGGGTTGGGGTTCTGCAGGCACTTGACTGGCCAGCCCAAATGACGTAACTCCCACATATATACATGGAGTGTAACAACGGTCTAAACCTCCTTTTAAAAGAAAGAAACCTGCTGCTGTAACTGCTTAAAAAGTGTTAAACTGGAACTAAACTAAACTCCCAGCACTGGCACAGACTCTTCTTCAGGGGTTCTGCAGGCACTGAACTGGCCAGCCCAAATGACATAACTCCCACATATGTACATGGAGTGCAACAACAGTCTAAACCTCCTTCCAAGAGAAAGAAACCTGCTGCTGTAACTGCTTAAAAAGTGTTTAACTGGAACTAAACTCAACTCCCTACTCCGGCACAGACCTCTTCACCCAGTCTTCTTCAGGGTTGGGGTTCTGCAGGCACTTGACTGGCCAGCCCAAATGACATAACTCCCACATATGTACAAGGAGCCCATCTGTGCCAGCACCAAGGTGTGCCAAGAGTCGAGCTATACATGCGTGTACATCAGGGGTGGGCAAATCCGGCTCTCCAGCTGTTGGGGAACTACAATCACCATGAGGTACTGCAACACTGACCGTTACAGGCATGGCTGCCAGAGGCAGAAGCATGTTGGGATTTGTAGTTAAAGCACAGCTGGAGGGCCGGGGGTTGCCTACATGCTGTCAGCTTACTGGCGGGCTCGGGCCGTGGAGCTGCGAACACACCCGAGCCCATCCTTAGTGGTCATCACTAAACATTTCTAAAAGGTGAGTTTGTTGTAATTTCGAAGATCTGGGTGAAGTTCCTCTTGACATACTGCATCAAATGCCATTTTTCATTTGGCCCATAGTCCCACTTTAAATATTGAGGGAAACTCTTTCTGAACGTAAAGCTCATACAGGAAGTAGACTTACAAGTACAGCGCATGGCCATTGATGGTGGAAGGCAGAAACTTCCGGGGCTGGAAAAGGAAGACACCTCAACTCTCCGCTCTACAGCCACTGCCATGGACATCCATCATCTTCCCCGGAAGACCCGAACACATAAAGCAAAGCTGCCTGCAGACACCCAACGGCACGCATGACCGGGCTGAGGAACTAAAGATCTTTCAACGAAGACCTTACACGCATGCTCGTTTCTGCTCTTGGAAGACGGATTGCCGTCGGCACCGGCTGTCTCGGAGAAAGAATGGTGATCGGCCTGCAAGGTCCATCCCAAGTGGTCAACTTTCTCCTGTAGAAGTTCAGCCATCATCATGCTCGGGCCTACAAACACATCTCGCCGACGCGTGGACCGGCCTGTCTATAATATTTGCAGGTACCGTATGACGCTCTTATGACCATGTATTACGTGTAGACCCGGGAATGCAATCGCAGAGATCTAATCAGCAGCGTTCCTGGGCTATAAAAGGGCCATAACATGATTACAGTGTTTGTCCAACCAATACCTTTCTTTTTTTTGCTTTGGAGTTGAGAAGGATTACAACCCCCATCAGGTTTTCAATGTTCTCTGAGGCTCTGCTAGAGAGAGGTCCTCTCACTTAAATCTGCCAACCTCCCAGCAAAGGTTTAACTCCACCCCATGGTCAGCCCACTGCTTGCATCATGGCTGAGGGCCCTTGAGAGGAGTCCTGGGGCAGGGTGACGTGATTGTTTTAGGAATCTATGTACATCACCCTCCCACCAGCCAATGACCTGCCTGCATTGCACAGAGACCCAGTGATGACATCACCGAGTCTAAAATAAAGGAATGTATTGAAAGCAGAAAGGTTTTATTTAAGGACGCACCGATACCATTTTTTCCAGACCGAGTACAGGGTACCGTTACTTTTCCTACTTTTTATAGTGTCATGTGACAGTTTTTCTAAAACAATACAGACTAATGATTTTAGGACAGGGGTGGGGTGGCAGGATCCAGACGGAACTGCAACCGCTGTCACCCTGTTAGTTCTGCCAATGACTCCAAGCTATAGAGGGATTACAAATCCCAGCAATACATTATATAGCAATGCAGAATATCAACAGCTATAGATGACTACAAATCCCAGCAATGCCTAAAACAGCAATGTAGAATACCACCAGCTAGAGAGGACTACAAATCCCAGCAATACAATATACAGCAATACAGAATACCACCAGCCATAGAGGACTACAAATCCCAGCAATACAATATACAGCAATGCAGAATACCACCAGCCATAGAGGACTACAAATCCCAGAAATACATTATACAGCAATGCAAAATGCCATCAGCTACAGAGGACTACAAATCCCAGCAATACATTATACAGCAATGCAGAATACCACCAACTATAGCAGACTACAAATCCCAGCAATACATTTTACAGCAATGCAGAATACCACCAACTATAGCAGACTACAAATCCCAGCAATACATTTTACAGCAATGCAGAATACCACCAACTATAGCAGACTACAAATCCCAGCAATACATTTTACAGCAATGCAGAATACCACCAACTATAGCGGACTACAAATCCCAGCAATGCCTAAAACAGCAATGCAGAATACCACCAGCGATCAAGGACTACAAATCTCAGCAATACATTATACAGCAATGCAGAATACCTTCATCTATAGGGGACTACAAATACCAGCAAAACATTATACAGCAATGCAGAATAATAGTACATGTATTGCTACATACGCTGTGCTGCCGCTCAGCTCCCGTGTGCCAGCCTGATGTCTCAGACAGAGGGTCTCAGGAGGGGAAGACGTGCAGGCCAGCGGAAGCGCTCTAAGCAGGCATCATGTGGTTCCTAAGAAGGCTGCCTCAAGGTCCCCAGCGAGCGCCTGAACCTCGCAGGAAAAAAATAAAGCTCTGATATTGGTTTTTTTTGGTATTAGGGCATTTTCACGAGTACTTGGTATCGGTGCATCCCTAATTGTATTTCATATTGATGGGGGGGGACCAGAGAAGGCAAAATATATGCAGATTAAACATCAGCTTTAATACCCCGAGGGAGAAAATGAAGATCTGAGAGCGTTTTAGCCTTTTCCTCCTAAAAACACATTTCTGTGTCAAGATGAAAGATTTCCCCTCCTTTCTAGTCTGATGAAGCCATTGCCTCCGGGACTGCAAAGCACCGGGATAGCAATAAAACCCGACAGGGGTTCTAGTCCTTCCTCACTCTTTCCGAAATTGTAAAACAAAACCCAAAATTATTGGCTGGACACACGCTTTAAACCGGCCCGGATCTACAAAACCTGACGGATCAATGTTGGAGGGTCTGACCTTTCTAATAGCTTCACAAACATTTGGGGTCTCATGTATTTTACATTTAAAGGAGAACTATGAGGTGAGTGATTTTCACCCAACCTCATAGTTCTAGCCGACCTGTGACAATGAGACTGTCACAGGTCGGCTCAATAGATCGGGAAGTGAGCGAACACATACAGTCGCTCGCTCACTTTTCTATCTATCCCTGCAGAGAGCCGTGACTGTCACTCACAGCTCCATGCAGGGATTCCCCCCTCCCCCCCTCCCCTGTCCGATCCTCCAGCGCTGACTGGCGGAACGGACGGGGGAGGGGGCGTGTACAGCTGGCTCTGCCTTTAGATAGGCAGAGCCAGCTGTCAATCACACAGCTAGGTGGATCCAGACAGTATTGTCGGGATACGCTCCGGCTGCGGCGGTCTCAGTATATAGGGAGCTGTAGCTCGCGGTATGCTGAGCTTTGAGTCACGGGAGGACGCTAGTTTGTGTTCTCCCGTTACCCTGAGGAGAACTATGGGGGAAAACACTGACCCCATAGTTCTTTAACTACCTCAGGGCTGCCGGAAGAGAGTAAATGGGGGCTGCAAAAGGTTCGACAAATCCGCCTAACACAACAAAACATTTTTTTTATGACTACGTCCTAACACACAACCGGTATAAAGACATTAAGTAAAATATATTTAAATTATGCTAAAAAGATTCCAGTTGTCGGCAATTTTTTTTTTTTTAAATATCATTAATATATTATATATATTTCTTTCCACTTAGAAAAATATTGCATTAAATTTGGTTGAAACTAAAAATGTAACAAAATAAAGAGGCGCGTATATTACAAACAAGCTGCGTCTATTGCAAATCGGGGCGGGGGCTTCTGTTGTTTAATCGAGGAGCACCCAGGCGAAGAGAGATACTTCAGTCTCAAGTGTATCCTTCAAGTCACGATGAGCGTAATCCATTACATTAACAAAGTATATCCATCTTGAGTGGAAACCCAAATATAAGGCTCCTGAAGGTGTTTAGAGATACTGCAGAGACCACACGAGAGTTAGATCTGCAGGGAACGTGCCCGAGAGCAGCAATACATCTCAATTTTGCAAATTTTTTTTGAGCTTTACAGCAGAATTGGCGTAGCGCAGGCATATCCAACAGAACCTACCACGAGCTCCGAAAATGTACCTACAAAAAACATAGTCCGCTAAGTAACAGGTCCACCGTGGGACTAAAGCACTAGATGCATCCTTGGATTGGTGATGTCCTTTTATTGCTCCCCTTGGATGAGTACACAGTGGCATTAAATTGTATCCAGTCTATGGAACACCCAATGGATACCGCACGGCTTGCGATACCTATGGGTTGCAGGTTTCCGTTGGCCGTTTATTGGAAGTTTTGGGGACTTCGCGCGTGTCCCCTCGCCTGGAGCAAGAAGCGCAAACTGCCCCAGAAAGACGTTTCAGGCCCTTCCGGAAAACGCTGTTGGACATGCTGTAGATCACGCAGTTACAGAAACTGTTACTGATGGCTAACCACGTGGTGAGAAAGGAAGCAGTCTGGTTGGAGTAGACTCTGGAACTCTCTAACAGGAAGTAGATGATGTAGGGCAACCACAATATATAGAAAACACTGGTTATACGAAAAAGGACAGTCGCGTACCGTTTCTCCGGGCTGGGTTGCACCTGGCCCGGATCCGTCTCCGTGCTGCTGAACCGCACGCGCCTTTCGTTGATCTCCTTGTTGTGTTGCTGGCAAATGCGGAAAATGTTGAAGTACGTGAAGCAAACCGTAGTGGCCGCCGGGGCGTACAGCGTAATCACGATAAATGAGGTGAAGTACGGGCTGGTGGGCCACGAGACGGCGCACGACCGGAACACATCTCCGTGATATCCGGGTTTTCCCCAGCCCAAAAACGAGGGCAGGAATATGGCGCAGGAGTATATCCAGAGCAACAGGATGCAAAACCGCAGGCGGCACGCTGTGACCAGAGTGTTGTAGATCAGAGGTTTGGTTATAGCTATGTACCGGTCGATGCTGATACAGGCCAAAGACATCATGGAGACGCTTTTGAGCACGGACACTACGTAGCCAAACATTTTGCACACGATGTTCTCCGGCAGGAGGGCGCTGTGGTGCAGCAAGGTGAAAGAGGGTACCAAGCAGCTGACTCCAACTAGAAGGTCGGCGTACGCCATGGTCTGGATGAAGTAACTGGTGGTGTGGTGGTTGAGCAGGGGGGCGCAATGGAAAACAAAAATAACAATCAAATTGCCCGAGATGATCAGCACAGTCAGGAAGATGATGATCCCTACTTCGAGGAGGCAAACTGGAATGGCTTCGTGAGCTCCTACTCCCAACAAACAGAACAAACCGCTGTTGTTTCCCTCCGAGGAAGAGTTCATTTTTAGATCGCCAAGGATATCAGAAACATGCCCGCGCCTCCGTCGCGCTTCAGAAGAGGACCCCGCGGCTTTTCTTGACGGGGCTACGGTGGATCCGTTCCCTTTAACTTTACCACAGAGCAGCACCGTACCCATCTCCTGCCATGTTACAAAGATCGAGGACAAAGCTCTGCCAGGGAACTTAGGACAAAAAGGTGCAGTCATCAGGAAGCCTGGGTCATGTGGGTTCTCTGTCCTCTAGCCGAGGCAATCCCACTCCATCGTTACGCTTCCACCGCTAGATATCAGAGCAGCTGAGAGGAAAGAATGTGACAACGTTTGTACAGTATCCAGACGGTAACGGCATCCCTGCATTCTCACAGTTTGCTGTCTCACAATGGTCTTTTATCTCTCGTTCCTGCAAAGTCAGAGGCAGCCGGTCAACTTTAATGATTAAGCTGCCCTGCTACCAAAATTAGCTTTTCCTTTAATAACCTACGAAGCCCTTTCTCCATTTAAAAGCCTATCCTTTGAATAATACATGGAGCTGCTGCCTGATATAAATCATCTCTACGGACACAGCTCCATATAGGTGCTCGAATCTGCTTTCCTTGCCCAAGACTCTTCAAATCGTACAAATTTAATTGGAAAAGATGCCGTCTGCATTCTTTCAGAGTCATCCAACGGCTCTGCGTTATATATCTGCAGCGTGCTTCTAGGACACGGCGTAAAGGACACCCGAGTCTATGCACCCGCATCCCCCAATGCTGCCTTAAAATTAAAGGGAAAAATTAAGGAAAAAGCAGCAATTGAAATCTCTAAAATCTGTCTTCTCTACATTCATTTATATCTAGTGATTGGAATGAAACACATTTCGAAACCAGCCTTGAAAATTTTTAACCAAGCCATTTCTACGACTGCTAAAAAGGTTATACAGCAAAGATCAAAAAGAAGATTTGATATTGCCCGAGAGAGATGCTTTACCTGACTCGAGTCCCAAGGTCCTGGAGGAGTCCTGCAGGAGGACTGCAGCTCACTTTGCTGCAGAATGGAGGAAAAATGCCTTTGTGAGTGTGGTCCTCTGCAAACCCTCCTCTCCTCCTCCCTCTCATGCACTGCCAAGATCAGCCGGGGATCCCAGACTGCACTACAGTACCCAGACGCAGGGATCCGAGGCACATTCACTGCCTGCTCTCAGCTAACTTCGACGCCGAGACCACAAATGCTGGAATCCCCCAAAAACATAAACGACCGGCTTCCGACATATAATCACAATGAAGCCATCTGACAAGACGAGCTCGGCTGGAAAAAAAAATATTCTCAGCTTCTTAAAGGTCATTGTTAGAAAACACAAATAACGGCTGCCGGAGCCAACATAAACATGATAAATGTGTGAATTGCAATGTGGGGAGGCTTTTAACTTGCTCTTCGGACATCAAACGCGGGGGGAAAAAAATGACAAATCCTTCACAAAAAAAGCTTTTGAAAAGAGCCCAAAAAAAAAGATGAACTCTAGCTGCTTCTGGGGCTGGCCCGGGGACAGTTTATTTTGTAGAACAATTTTTAGCAAGAAGAAAGCAAATCGGCGTTACGGTTATGTAAACGGAAGAATAACTAATCACCGTGCAAGAGGGCTACAAATTACTGTATCTCTCCCGAATTCCGTTACTAACGGCACAGGCCATAAAACAGATTACAGAGAAATCATCAAACTTCTCAGAAATAAGGGAATTCTGTACACAGCGGAAAATCCTTTTCTTAAAGGAGAACTATAAGTGACTGTCACTCACCCTCATAGTTCGAGCCGACGTGTGACAATGAAACATCACACGTCGGCTCAATAGATCGGGAAGTGAGGGAACACATACCGTCGCTCGCTCACTTCTCGATCATGTCCCTGCAGAGAGCCGTGACCGTCACTCATGGCTCCCTGCAGGGATTCCCCCCCCCCTCCCGTCCGATCCTCCAGCGCTGACTGGCGGAACGGTAGGGGGCGGGTACAGCTGGCTCTGCCTCTAGACAGTCAATCACGCAGCTGAGTGGATCTCGATAGTAATGTCGGGATCTGTCCCGGCTGCGGCGGTCTCAGTATACCGCGAGCTGTAGCTCCCTATATACTGAGCTTAGGGTGACGGGAGGAGGCTAGTTTATGTCCTCCCCTGACCCTGAGGAGAAATATGGGGAAAAACACTGACCCCCATAGTTCTAATACAAGCATGCCTACATTTTGTAGCAAATAGTACCAAGGGCATGATCATGAACATAAAGGGGCAGTTCCTTTTCTTGGGAGTCCATTAAGGAACCAAAGAAGCCTTCCAAGTTTGGGTTATGCTGTCGCCTACAGGAGGACTGGACACTGGCAAATAAAGAAAATGTATAGGCCAGCCCAGGATAACCCCTTGTAATACCAGCATGCCTACAATTTGTAGCAAACAGTACCGAGAGCATGATCAAAAACATACAGGGGTAGCTCCTTTTCTTGGGAGTCCAGTAAGGGACCAAAGAAGCCTTTCAACTTTGGGATATGCTGGGATATGCTGATGCCTACAGGAAGACTGGACAATGGTAAATACAAAATCTACAGGCCCAGATTTTCCAGGCCCTTCTACTACCAACATGTCTACATTTTGTAGCAAGCAGTACTGAGAGCATGATCATAACCACAGAAGGGTGGGACCGGTACCTGTGGACTCCAAAATAAGGATTTTACATTGAGTACAAAATTCCAGTTCTCTTTCTTGTCCACTGAGGGACACAGGAAGTCATTCACTTTTGGGACATCCAAAAGCAGTCCAACTGAAGGGTGAGCAACACAGCAAACAAACAGTAACATGCCCAAGAAACAACAACATATTGAATAGGTGCCTTGGCGCGGCTGTGCGGCTTTCACATTTTCTGCAGAAGACGTGTATCTAAACCTCTGTTATTAACCTTAGTGGTGAGACAAGTTTTTTTTACATGCTGGCTGGTGAGTGTGCCGGGAAAACATTTTGCTGTTTAAACATCTCATCAGGGCGCATCCATCAGGGTGCTTGCAACAGTACTTGCAATAGGAAAGTCTTTGCTGTCTTATGGGCTTTAAATGTCCTAAGACTGCAAGAAGAACTGGTAGAAGAACAGGCTGATCCTCTAGTTCCAGAGTAGAGCGCTCTGCATTATTAAAAGCCAAAACAGTTTCTCGTAATGAGGACGTAATAGCAGAAGACCGCAGTTTCTCCAGGATAAGCTTGCCAGACAGAGACTAGAGCGACTCAGAATCAGAGTCTCTGGCCGATGGCTCGGAAGCCTCTAAGGATGCGGGTGCAAAATAGAGAATCTCTGGAAGCAGGCGCAGGAGTGCATCCGCGGCCCATGTGGTCAGAGCCACTAAATAATTGGGTGATTTGGTCCATAGTCATGAATGACTAGTAAAAAACCTCAGCTGAAACGGCAGAGGAACCGGCCACACCTGACAGAGCTACAGAAGACTCCAAAGACAGAATAGAATCTAGGAACAGAGGGCAACAGGATTGTAGAGGTTGGCTGTATTGGTAGACGCGCTGCTAGCAGATGTGCGGCAAGCAGCCCCCAAAATGTTAGTAGAGTGTAAGCTAGGGGCACCCATTTCAGCTGGACTGTCCCCCCTCCTATATGCAATCAGATATGTTGCAACTGCGTGGTGACAGAGCTACTTAAGGCTAACGGTATAGGGCAGGAATGGCCAAACTGCGGCTCTCCAGCTGTGGTGGAACTACAAATCCCATGAGGCTTTGCAAGATTCTCACAGCCACAGACATGACTCCCGGAGAGAGATGCTTCATGGGATTTGTAGTTTCACCACAGCTGGAGGGCCGGAGTTTGGCCATCCATGGTATAGGGCAAGCTCTCAGGTATTAACAAAACCCAAACAGCTGGCTGCAGGTGAAGGTCAGGTGGCAGGAGGTGACCAAAGTCAATGTAGGAAGGAATCGGGAGCAGAATGAAATGGAAGCTCTATGTGACTCTTTGAACGCAGGAGCAGCTTCCTCTGTGACAGGGCAAGCACATAGGCAATGCCAGCAGCTCCAGACCTTGAAAGATCACGGAACCCAGAGCCCGAAGGTCCCTTCCAGGCCAACCCAGCACTCCAAATGCTAGGTTATAAAGGCCCTCGACCAGATAGCTGCACTAGAAGAGACCAGCTCTAGCAGCCAAGTACAGAAGAGTCATGACTGAAGACAAGAGTATGAAGAAAAAAAAGGTGCTAGCAAAATTCATGTCAGCCCTTCACACAGCAAAGCCGAAGAAAAGAAGTCCACCCTCCTAGGACACTGGCAAAAAACGGAGACATGCTGGTAGTAGAGGGGGCCATCTTGGTCTAGCCTACACTTTTTTGTTTCCCAGATTCCAACCTACCGTAGGCGGAAGTATAACCCGAAGGCTAAAGACTTCCTGTGTCCCTAATGGATGAGAAAGAAAAAAACACCTCGATACTTTTATATACGTATCCCCCTTCCCTCCGGCATGCCCAGAGTCACCTGTCCACGCTCTTACCTGATCCACTCTGTAATGTCCGCATAGAGACACTCATAACACACTGTGTGTAATGTTATAGAACATTCTAGTGAATGGCTTTACATAAGCTTTACGTTTTCCTTCCAAATATATACAATCATGTGACACGTTAACTAGAGTAAACATGGAATATTTGTGCTCATACGGCGTTATTACATATTAGGAGGAAATTGAAATCACATTTAATCTACATTTACATGGAGGATTCAATCTGTTTGCCTTTCATCTCCTTAGCGGCACACTTATTTAAAGAAGAACTCCGGGCATTTTAAAATTCAATCCTTGCAGTGGGGCGACCCCCTGCACTGCAAGGGTTAAGTGCTCGCTGTGTCTAGGGTCCATATGAAAATAAAGGAAAACAACAAAAAAGAACTAAAAAAAAAAAAAAAAACAAAGCCACCACATCCAAGCATTGGCAAGCTGTCCCACCCAGACCTAGAAGCCCCACCCACTGCAGGCAGCCTATCTGCCTATATTACAGGAGGGGGCGGAGACAAGACCAGTCACCGTCCACAAGGAGAGTAGCAGTGATTGGTCTTTATTACAGGAGGGGGCGGAGACAAGACCAGTCACCCTGCACAAGAAGAGAGAGCAGCAGTGATCGGTCTTTATTACAGGAGGGGGCGGAGACAAGACCAGTCACCCTGCACAAGGAGAGAGAGCAGCAGTGACCGGTCTTTATTACAGGAAGCTCTAAGTCTCACACTGGATTACTGCACAGATCTGCACACACATTGGCCCTTCTATGAGGACAATATTTGCTTATCCCGGAGTCCAGCTTTAAATTCCTGCCACACACATATGACATTTACTTGAATCAATCAAAATATATATACTAAGCTTGCAGTCTCTGCTAATTGTACCACGCTCTATAAGCCCCGTCTGATTGGCTCTAACCTCTTTGTCTGCATTAAATGAGATTTTTTTTTTGTGTGCACATTTCACCTGCTCCATATTACAAATAATAATATACATGGGCAACCCTACTCGCAGGCTCATAATCATATCTCCACCGCTGCCAGCAGATAATTAATCATGCGGGTGCCCATTGCTTATTATATCATTGTGCAGGCACCTATGCTGGCAGATATATAATTATAGGGAAGCAGAATCTGCTGAATGGAAAGGTTGTCAAGGGGCAGCGAGGTGATCGGAGACTGCTCCTCTATGTGGAGATCAGCCTCAAAGCTCTCCAATGCATGAATGTACGGACTTACCACATAGAACTTCTGCTCCAAATGTCTGTTTACTTCCACCAGGACCTCTCAGGAGCTCAGTGACTACAAGCGCGGTGCCGTGATAGGTTGTCACCCGTGCAATAAGTCCATCCGTGACATTTCCCGGCTACTAAATATTCCGCCGCGGTCACCTGTTACTGGGATTATAACAAAGTGGAAGCAACTGGGAACAACAGCAACTCAGCCAGGAAGTGGTCGGCCACGTCACATGACAGAGCGGAGTTAGCGAATGCTGAAGCGCGCAGAAGTCGCCAACTGTCTGCAGAGTCAGTAGCTACAGACCTCCAAACTTCATGCGGCCTTCAGATTGGCACAACAACAGTGCGTAGAGAGCTTCATGGAATGGGTTTCCATGGCCGAGCAGCTGCATCCAAGCCGCACATCACCAAGTGCAATGCAAAGCGTGGGATGCCGTGGTGTAAAGCACGCCGCCACTGGACTCTAGAGAAGGGGAGACGTGTTCTCTGTCTGACCAGTCACCCTGCACAAGGAGAGAGAGCAAAAGTGAGCGGTCTTTATTACAGGAGGGGGCGGAGACAAGACCAGTCACCCTGCACAAGCAGAGAGCAGCAGTGAGCGGTCTTTATTACAGGAAGCTCTAAGTCTGGTAGACATACACACGATTCTTATATTTAGATAATATTTATCCCGGGGTTCAGTCTTCCTTTCTGCAATCTTCCCTCTCAGTAAATGACTCCATATCGTATCCCTACAACGTCTCCTTGTTCTGCCCAAATCCTTCTGGTCTGTCAGGACCCCAGCAGCTTGCCAAGTTGTCATTAAGAATTTCAATAACAATTCAGTTCCTGTAAATTCCTTTACTTCGGGTCCACAAATCAAGTTTATTATTGTTAAAAAAAAACACAATGAATAGGAAATGAAGGCTTGACACAGAACAGTACATGATCGGCTCACATGATCGGCTCGCATTATCGGCGGAACTACATTGGGAAAAAATTGCTTTGGGAACGCTCGTTTGGCCTTCGTGACTTACATGATGTAACCATTTCACTGCCAGTGCCATATGCCTTACGGGCCCTGTAAACAGATTCCTGGTGGCTGTATACCTGTGTAAAACTGACTGCCGGCTTTACACTGCAAGTGATTCTGATGGCTTAACTGTAATG